AAAAAAGCTACGGTGGGTTACCATAATTTGTCCAGGAGTATTCTAACACAACAGCAAAAAGCGGTATCATTCTGCAGAACGGTAAGCTACCGTAACACGGCGTCACGGTATGACGCTGGCAACAGTGACGCCAGTATGTTACCGTAAAGTGGAGACAAAAAGTCTAACAGTGTACAGTGTGCTGGAATTCCTCCACAATGATGTGAGAGAATGATAAAGCCTTCTAAATAAAGACTAAAAGACCTTGCAGTATAATTAAAACGTCATTACCAGTGAAACATTAAAGAGAAACCAGATTAACCAGATCATAAAAACACTGTTATTAGAACTGTAAGTCAGATGAAATGAACGATTGTAGATTTTTTCAGTTTGTTTCACAATTGAATGTTGGTCAAATTCATATGTTTGTGTAAGACAATGTGGGATGTGTTTAAGCGTTATCATTACAGAGAGCAGATCTGGAATTGGGGTTTAGCTTTAAACAAACACAAACTATATTGGTTGAAGTTTGGAATTGTTATTGATGAATTAATATGCTGTAATTTATCTGAAAGCAACATTCCCAAATTCTTAATGTATATCCAAAATGGAAATTGTTTTTATCGTCTCATGAAACTCCTGTACCTTTTTTCTGGAACAACTGCTACTTCACCTGTTCTTTTGTCTACTTCCCTACATCCATTTTGTCTACATCCCTTTTTCTGCTACGTTCTTTGTTAAACATGTGTTCACCTCAATAAAACTAAAGTCTTTTAAAAACAGTGTTTTATGGTTTGATAATGTAAACTAACCTCTTGCCAGTTGGGCTGGTCAGTGACGTTACAAGGGTCCAGAGTACAACAGGATATTGGGACATTTCCCCCCCAGTCTGCCACACCGTGGACTCCACAGCACTTAAACTGTACAAAACACAACACTCGGGTTCAGTGGAGTAAACATGTCTGCTATCTGAGCAGGGAAATGCACAAAATGATTTCCTATTCTGTTTATATCCAGTTCCATATATTTATTCTTTAACTCAATATCCATAGTATTACATTTAATGCTACAAGTTTCTACTTCAATGAGCCTGTATCTCTGAGTTTGATGATTCAGTGTTAATATGAGCAGTGTTTAGCTTTAAATGGTGGAGCAGGACATGCATGATTAATCTGACAGAGGAAAGCAGCTTATCATTTACCAGATACTGGATGGCATCAAAGTCATCTTTGAGTGTCTGATTTTCTCCTGGACCCGATATCTTGTAGACCTCCAAGCTGTGCATCAGATCTTTCTCAAAGTATGTGCCAATCTGCATGACAGAAAGGAAGAGAAAGAACAGAAATATACTGGAGCCTACTGGACATGAACAAAAACAGTGTTTAGATACAAGTGGGGATAAATACCAGTACCAAATCAAACCAAACAAGCAAAAATGTCAAAAAATGCGAGAACATATGCCGTAAGTCTGGAGAATGAACTTAGCTCCTTGGTTAAATTAATATGTCCATCTACATAGAAACTAAGTATACAACACTTCAGTATGTGATGGACTCTTTCTTCAGCTTTTCCAGTGTTGTAATAACAGGCCAGTCAATGTGTCTGAGATGTGGCACTCAACAGATTCTCAATCGCAGAAATAATAAGACAATAATAGAAGTATACCCTTGTTTTGAAGTAGTAAACTTTGAAACTTTATTTTTTCATTTCCAACTTTAAGCATACAGTTTTTATGTTTTGGTGGCTGCTAAATTAAAGTTATATTTAAATAAATTGTACAAAATACCTGACCAAACCTGAAGACCCCGTGGCAATATTTGCTTTGGATAGGACTTTAATTTAGTCCAGTTCCATGTTGTCCTGTTTACTAACTACACTATAAGTAGCAGCAGTGCACTGGTTACTAGCAGAAGACCTGGAGGAAGCTAACAGCACTTAGTTTTTCATGAATGCAATGCTAACAGCTTGTCTTTTTGTATATTGTGCTTTATGCTTAACTACAAATGTGGTGAAGTGAGCTGACTCACCCTTTCACTTTCTGTTACTTGTGTCTCTTAATCCTTGCCGGGAAGCTTTTGTTCCACTTAAGGTAACACTATGTGACAATAAGTAGAATAGGTGGTTCAGATTATGTAGCACAGGTGGTTTTATCAATGGCTTCTCCAGTCTGCAAACCCTAAACTGCCCCTTATGCTTCACTGGCATGTAAATATGTGCAAAATAGATTTTGAAAAAGAGCTTACAAGTGTGTGAATGATTGAATCTGGCTCGTAGTGTAACAACACTCTAAGACATTTATGAGACTAAACAATTTAATAGAATTCACACCTAGTTTTGACATCAGCACTGGATGTGGGCATCATGGTAACTTGGCATTAGAAGGGTAATCATCATGGGACAAAAAACAACCACTCAATAGGCCATGTGAACTTGATAGCAGCATGAACCAAGCTAGACAGCTTATAGAGGTGAATAAAGTGCATAGATTTTCTTTATTATGGTTCTGTTGCCATTATTTGATACATTTTATGCTACAAATTTTGTCAAAATATCAAACCCAATATTGTGCTACACATAAAGTAATCATTCTTTTCCTCTGGTTTAGGTATCACAACTGGAAAAAATTGGATTGGTGTACTTCTAATAGAAACCTTTAAATAACCTGGTATATGTATATACATATGGATACAGACAGTGACTGTCCTACCTCTCTGTTGTAGACAAAAAACACACAGGCCATAGCCAGCTCCACAGATATCAGGAAGGACAGCAGGACATAAAACTGCGTGGGTGAAAATGGGACACTACATGACTACATTTGCATCTTCAAAGCTAATTTCAGTGTACTTCATTTGCATTCATTCAAACTAAATGCAAAGCTCATTAAAAGCATAGTTATGCTAATTTATTATTATTTTGTAGTAACTCATTAAAAATCTCTGGGCGACATTGAGTCACTGCTTCATACTCACGCTTATGAGCATGCAGCGGTTCTCCCTCATGCCTCCAACCACTCCCAAGTAGCACACACAGGTAGCAATGGTACCAGTGACCACCAGAGTGTTGGCAGGGTAGATTGGCCAGAAGGAGGTGACTAGAGAGCCAAACCTGGAGTGCATCATCATGAATTCACCAAAGGCCACCACAAAGGCGTTGCTTAGCTTCACCATAGCAAACAAACACACATACACGCATAAATAGGACAAGAGACATGTCACATTATTATTCTGAATTTGAGTCTATGTGGGTTTGCCTATATGGACTAAAACTGAATTTACACTCAAAATTTAGTTAGTTTCTCTGCTCACAAATGAAAAAGTTTGGATTTAAATTTGTGAGCAGAGAAATTGCGTACATTTACTCTCTCAAATAAAAAAACAGCAGACGTCTGATGTTAGACAGAATCGTCAACTTATGACACACTGACTCACATCTAGAGTGAAGTAAACACTATATGTGCAACTAGGAAAATGATACACTTTGTATCATTGTACATTGTATTTCACAGCTTTGTATTTCTTTCTATTTATTTATGAATTGTTGCCTAGAGCCTTATTTTTGATTTGCTTTATATACAGAAAGTCATTTCCATCATATCTGTTATTAACCTCTGTCTCTCTTCCACAGCATGTATTTTATCCTGTCTTCCTTCTCTCACCCCAACCGGTCGCAGCAGATGGCCGCCCCTCCCTGAGCCTGGTTCTGCCGGAGGTTTCTTCCTGTTAAAAGGGAGTTTTTCCTTCCCACTGTCGCCAAAGTGCTTGCTCATAGGGGGTCATATGATTGTTGGGTTTTTCTCTGTATCTATGAAGCGCCTTGAGGCGACTTTTGTTGTGATTTGGCGCTATATAAATAAAATTGAATTGAATTGAATAAACTAAACAAAATGGTGCATAAACATTTACAAGACATGAAACGCTGTGTTTGGCCCCAAGACCCACCATAAAATACTGAACATGTTGTAAAGACAAATAAGAAGACTGACAACTGATTTATGGAAGTGGCTAAGGAGATATTTACATAAGACACACTACTGTACAATTTAAGCTGCTTCTATTCAGTATACTAATTAAATGTCTTTGCATAGCAGAAAAAAAGTGTATTTTTACTTTTACTTTTTTTTGTTTGTTTAGCTTTTGTTTAGATTAACATTGCACATAAATCATAATACGCTTGTAACATGCATTACTACAGACTAACCCAGCTAATCTTGTTTTTTTCTTTCTAGAATTAAAATGAAACACTGGACCATTGTGGGTGCATTACAGAGGTCCCTCGCTACAACGCGGATTTTTTTGTGCAATTTTGCATGCTTTTTTTTTTTTTTTTTTACAGCGTATTGTGTTCTGCGTTTTGATTGGCTGTAGACCAATCAATCTCATGTCGTGTCTCCTGTACAGTACAGAATGCGTTCAGCTTGTCAAATTTACCTAAATCTTCGATCGCTAGCAGTGTGACTCTGAAGTACTGTACTGTATGTTTGTTTGCAAGTTTTCTCCAACAAACACAAAAGTATCGACGAAACGTTTTGCACCGTCAAAGGCATCTGTGGGTGCCTTTGGTTTCATTCTATAATACTGGACTTCTTTTTCTACGAACGTTTGAACTTTTAGAGTGTTTAAACCATTGAGAAAAGTGGGGAAATGTTCGAGCCCGTCGGAGAAAAGTGTATAAAGTGTGTAGTAAGGGGTTTTACAGCCATAAAACATCTATAATAATTGTTGTTGTTTTTTTTAAAGTTAGATACTTCGCGGATTTCGCCTATTGCAGGTTATTTACTACCGTGATAAACGAGGGACCACTTTATTTCCATCACAAGTAAAATATTTTGAACGTTTGATCGGAGCCTAAAATGGTACTTTAATCCCCTCTTGTGGTCAAACGTAATCAAGTGCATTGCCTGTGGAAATTAAATGGTGCTCCTGACTGATAATAATTGCAAATTAATGCTCAATGTTCAGGAACTGTGGCACCACATTTACAAGTAGAAGGTAGTTCCAGCTGCTCCCTTATTTTCCAAGGGCTGGTCACAGCAGATGGATATGCATGTTGATGTGGCACAGATTTTACCCCGAATGCCCTTCCTGACACAACACTCCCCCATTTTGTTGGACAAGGTAGGCAACTACTATCTGTCTATCTATCTATAACTATTTACCATAATGTGTATCTATAAATGTGTATACTGTAAGTGTGCTATGTCATCTGACTGGAACTGGTAATTCACAGTCACATGACAACCCATGTTTTCTGTAGTCTGCGTGGGTCTCTTACCCCAACGTACCTACCCAGCAGAGGAAGTGCAGAGCTGTCACCAGAGATTTCAGGCAGTTCACACAGGCGCTAGTCATCCTTACTGATAATCTTCCTCTGTCAGAGTTTGTCACATTTATTACCATAAAATACAAAATGACACTTTAGATTAGTCTCACTAATGGGCTTAAATGTTTGAGACATAATACTGCTATAGACAGTTACTGTTTACAGTACACTTTTGTTTGATGTGACAACACTGACCCTTAAGTCACAATGGACACCTGTGCTCTGTTTAGGCTCCTGTTAATCATTGTTATCTGCTCTTATCTCCACATTAACCATTTGTTGCAAGTTTCTATCTAAATGTGTTTGTGTGACAGCAGGTCACAGCACAACACAAAACCTTCACTTGTAACCAAATTTCCATATCTTGTGCTTCCTAATTTATTACAAACATGTAAATAAATTCAAATGAAATGATAAATTCAGACACTAATTTTGTGGTTGAGATAACAAACCAATTGAATAATCTAAGGACCTACCTTGACTAATCTGTATCCAGCAATATCTCTGTGACAGACGTGTGTGAGCAGTAGCCCAGCGTTGCTTCACTCATTGCCAGGGTTAACTAACAATAAGGAGGAAGGAAAACTAACTAAAAGGGTGTGGAAGGGCAGTTGACATACTGGGTGTATCTACCCAGTATGTTTAGTAACAACATTAAAGAGGAGGGGCATTCACGCCTGGCAAGCGAGAGGTCTGTAATAAAATACATTTTGAAAAAATAATAAAACTGTTGAAAGACAGTTGAATTTACTTTGAAAAACACTAACCATATCACAGTCTCAGGTGAAGCAGATTTTCATCAATGACCTCTTGAATTTTGCTGGACTCATTTTTTGCTTAGAGGAAAATCCATGGCATCATGCTACCATTTTGCTTCACTGCAGAAATGCAATTAGTCAGAGGCTAAAATTGGATTTTCCAGGTAGGAGATCAATAAAATCTATTGTAGCAGATTCTTTTTCGTTTACAGTCTGCAATCAGGTGGCTTGTGCTCTTGATGACATTTAATGCTCCCTGTGGACTTATTCATTTGACTTCAACAATAAATAATTAAGATGCCACATAAATGATCAGAATTACTTTCCAACCCCTAGTCAGTATAAAAGCGATTGGAAAACTTGTATAGTAAGCAGATGGGACAGTGAGGTGATCATCTTGCGAGATACTGCTGTGGATCTATAATATGTTATACGGTGTTGGGTCTGAGCTTCCACAGGCCCCGCTGGTTTAGAAACTTATTCCTGTTAACGAAACAAGGAAGCAAGACAAACAGCTTTAACCGGTGTTTACTTGCTAGCAGTGTTGGTCAAGTTACTTGAAAAAAGTAATCAGTAATTA